CTTGCTTATTTTACTATTACATCTTGTTCTTACCATTGCTTTGTAACCAGAAATTGACCGTTGGAGGAACAACTGAAAAAATAGTGTCAGCATTTCACTTGGTAATCAGCGAACATTCTACTGAAGACGAAGAAATGAACAGATGCAAGTCTGCTGTCCACCATGTTAGAAAGATGGAAAAGGATGTTGAGATGGTCCTTACAAAAGGTATAATCTGGTTCTCTATTGGACTGCAAAGCTAACATGTCTGCACTGAATTGCTCTATTATGTTGATAATAACCTGTTGCCATTGCTACTTTGAATTTTGTAAACATCAATATGGAAAAAAATGATGATGAAGATATACTGAAGGCCATGATTTGGCGGAGTGAAATGCAATAATTGAAAGAAAAATAGTCATATCAATCTGAGTGTAAAAATATCATTTTTTTTTCATAACTTCCCCAGAAAAAGGATTAAGATTATGTCGTGTTTGAGGTATGGGAGTAATGTGGAGATTCCATGTTCGAACTACAACGACAACACTTGGTCTGCATCCATCTGCCCCAGCTGTGTGGACATGATACCATAGAAACCTGTACTTGCTGGCTGTATAGGCTGCCTGGTGGATAAGTCGAGCTGCACGCAAGTTGGCCTAAACACCACCGAGAATAAAAAACAGGAATAAAGTTACAGGGGGCTGAGACCTTAACAGAGTGATAGATTAGACATCTCTTTACAATCTTTTTCCTTTTCCCAAAAAGTTGTTACTTTTAAATTATCTATGGGAATTGAGTCATATTTTCTTGTGCAGCAAAAGATCCAAAGAGGAAAACCTTATCCAAAGAACTGGAGGAGGAAGAAAATATTTTGAAACAGTGTATTGAGAAACTTAAAGTTGTTGAGGCAAACAGATTGACTCTTGTTTCACAGTTAAAAGAAGCACTAAATGAACAGGTAAGTGATAAATCCATTTGGTTTAGTCTTAGTGTTCTTGACAAATTTTCATGCTGTACTTATCGTCCAACTCATTGCTTCTTAATTTTGTCAGGAATCTGAACTAGAGAATGTTCGGACTCAGATACAGGTTTTTATCTCATTTTCA